ATCTTATGAAGCTTTATATAAAACATTTTACAGTAGTATAATGTACTATATATGTGATTTAAGTTATTATATATATATAGATATATATATATATATATATATATATATATATATATACTCAAAAAAATCCTTAAAATATCCATTTCGGTTTTAATCTATTTCGTGAATATTGTTATATTAATCTCTTCAGACCGAAGGTTCTTAATAAAGGGAGACAATTCAATTGTCATAATTGCTCCCTATATGCTGAATTATCTTCATTTATTAAGAGGCTTCGGTTTGAATGAAGAGATGGATTAATATCCTCCTTGGAATTAATTGATATTGATATGTGTGTGTGTGTGCGTGTGTGTGTGTGTGTGTGTGTTCTGAGTGACTGAAAAGTAATGTATGATAAACTCGCTGGTCTTGTAAAAATTATAGCTAGACAGGAGAAGTCCATCATACATAAAATAGGGAGTTACTTTTCAATTGTCCTATATTACAGTTCAAAAGTTTGAAGCCATTCGTGTTATTTTTTTTTTTAAATTCGTCCCAAAAGTAGTTGTTTTGTACTTTAAGAGAAAATTATTATACATGGTTAAAAAAGTGTGACATGATTTTTTTTATTAGAAGTTTTATTATGAGAAAAAAAAGCATTTATGATTAAATTTTGCTCTCGTCAAAATATCCTCCTTTAGCCTTGATTACTGCAGCACAAATTTTTGTCATTCGTTGCAAGAGTTTCTCAAAGTATAAGTTTGATATTTGATTGCATTCTTTTTTCACTGACTCTAAGAACTCTTTTTTCATTTTTTGGATGGATTGGTTTCACTCTTCTGCCGAATTCATCCTATGCTAATTCTGGGGGTGGCTTCAAACTTTTGATATATATATATATATATATATATATATATATATATATATATATATACGCGTAAGAACAGGCATATACTAATCATATATACAAACGAATTAATTTAACAAATTAATGGATTTGTTTTAATCCGACGTTATTTTAGTTGAAACACGTGGTTGAATAGACATCGTTGTTTTTCTTTAAACAGGGAATTAACGTCTTCAGCCTAGACAATCGCCATTGTACTGCCGAAGAATACATTTTCTTTAGATTTTAGATGACTTAGACAGACGTTGTTTAAAACCCAAAATAACGATTTTAATAATAATAAACAGTAATGTCTTATACAAAAATGTAAGTAAAGTACCTGACTCCTCGTGTTATCCTCTACCTTTATAAGAACCAGATCCGGCCGAAAATAGAGTACTGTTGCCATATTTTGGCGGGAGATGCCCAGTCCACGCTTTCTTGTTTTGAGAGATTTAAAAAGCATAACCGAGTCTTTGTTGAATTTTCCACCCTCCAACCTCTTTCTCACAGGTGGGATGTGGTGAGTCTCTCACTGCTCTGTCGCTACCTACATGGAAAGTGGCCTTGATTCGGCCAGGTCTAACATTCACGGCTAGAAATCTTCATGCCACTTACATGGTAGCAAACCACCCTCAATTCCCTCCGTATGAGAAGTTCCATTCGAACAGCTTCTTCCCGCGAACCACTGCTCTGTGGAACAGACTCCCAAGTTGATGCTTCCTCGATGACTACAAATTTAACGTGTTATTAATCATTAATTTTCCCTCCTATCCGTATAAACTGCCTCTTATCATAACCCTCTACCTCGAGTGGCCCCCGAACCTTGTACAGGATGAAACTTACCATAAAAAAATGTCGGATTGTATATATAATGTGTGCATGCTTGAATCATAGATATCCAAGTGGTTATGAGAAATTCGAATGCTTACGAGCTTACTAGCATTTATTTTTCTTCTTGTATGTGCCGTGTCCCTTCAGGACGTAAGCTATCATGGCCCTCCTCATCTTCCTGTCCCTTGTAGCTCTTAATAAGTTTTGTCTTTTTGTTATTTCTGACAGAAAAAGGCCTCCCATCTATTTGCCTAAGTATCCATCAAGTATGGTACGCGTTGCATTCCCTTGTCACTCTTTTCATCTATCTATCTATCTATCTATCTATCTATCTATCTATCTATCTATCTATCTATATATATATAAGTGAACATAGATGTCAACACTTAGAGGCGACAGTTTGTTTCATGGTAGATGCAATGGTCAGGCCACCTCTCTGATATTGAGCACTTTATCCCATAAATATAGCACTATATTTCTTCACACACACACACACACACACACACACACACACACACACACACACACACACACACATATATATATATATATATATATATATATATATATATATACGACATTATCCCTGATGTTATTTTTTAGTGGGTACGCATAATTGAGTTACAGTCCGTGCTTTAAAGGAATGCGCATCTCTTGTTGGGACTTCTATCTATGAATATATATCTACTAGCTTCAGTCTAATTGTATCTTCTTATTTGCAAATATTTTTTCTCAAAGTGACGGATTAAATTCCGTATAATTGAAATTGTCTGCAATTCATGTCTTTTTGTTATTACTAAAGCCTTCGAATGATCAAAATAAATAAAAATAAATAGCAGGCAGTTCCTTTACGATTTTAATCTATTCATAAGAAATTTAATTCATTTAAAGAAAAAAATATTTAAATATGTACACGACACAGTTTTTTTTTATTTAACAAAGCACAATTGCTACACACGCGCGCGCGCACACACACACATACTATGTATTATAGGAGATTAAAACAAAGGTAGCGATTTGTAATTTTTTTTTGTTCTAATCTCCAATAATATTTTGTATTGAGACGTTTATTTTTAAACTAACTGCTACGGAAAGTGGAATTGTACTCCATTTGTTCTTATCTTATACCTGTGTGTGTGTGTATATATATATATATATATATATATATATATATATATAATTATTCTTTCTTGACCGATTGACACCCAAATCTGTCCTGCAAATTTACCCATAGCTAGATTAGTGGAGATGGATTCCTATATTACCCACTTTAACACGTAAATGAATGTAATGAACTCGACAGGAATTCGAAATGAGTTCTCCGATTTCTCAATCCAATCCGTTACCCATACCCCATCGTGCCCCTCCATATTTCTTCAAAATTCAAAACCCAAGGAGGGTCGTTTGAGGACCTTGTGGTATGCAGTTCGCCAACTTAATGTGTTCCGCTCTTACAAACAATGTGGTTGGTTCTGTACAAGCGTTCACCACTATATAATCTGCAAGTAGTCTGTTTGGTTCTAAGTACTAAGATGCTGGATCCTCATACGTCGAAATAATACGGGACCCATCTCCTTTAATATATATATATATATATATATATATATATATATATATATATATATATATATATATATATATCGTATAAACTGTCGCCATTTTATATTTTTAATTTCACGCATTTTTTTGATTTTGTTGACTGCACAATACAGTAGATTCAGTTGGCCATCGTTTGTGAGAAAAAGAGCACCATGACGCAATTCACTCCGCCAGAAATTTGGAAACGGCATGCTGTACTACTTGGCATTTGCATCGGAAGATCCAATATGAACATTTCAAGTACGTCATCTCGGAAAACTCACACTGTTTGTTGTGAAAAGAAAAGAACTCTCGAATTTGTTGGCGAGGAACTCAGACTCAACACGGAGGTCTGCATCAAGTGCGCTGATAGGGTAGTGCTGTCCTTTGTCAAGAGGTTGGATGCTGGAAGACACTTTGTCTGCACCATGCTACATAAGTTGGAGAACCCAGTCATGCCTGCAACCACCTTATCCCTTACATCTGGCCACCTACGTCCCCAGACTACAATCCACTTGGTCATTATGTGTGGGTCGCATTTGAACGAGAGATCAACAAAACTACTTGTAACACCAAAGATGAACTGACGGCAAATATTTATGGCCATATTCACTTAAACAAGGAGACCGTCCAGAAGAGATGCAGGAGATTCTTAAGTCGTCTGGAGGCCGTAACTGAGACTAGTGGCAATTTTATTGAATAAATCTACTATATAGTATTTTAATATATTTATGTTTAATTTTAGTAAATATATCTTTTAAAATAAGATATCAGTGTTATTTTCATTTTTGCGTCACTTAGACAACATTTTATCCATCGCACCCTATCTATCTATCTATCTATCTATCTATCTATCTATCTATCTATCTATCTATCTATCTATCTAAGATTCTTCCATATCTATCTATCTATCTATCTATCTATCTATCTATCTATCTATCTATCTATCTATTGTATACGCATGTGCGCGTATTCTTGACCAATTTTTAATGCATCCGCACAGACGTCAAGAGAAAAACACGTGATGTCTACCCAATAAATAAAAATCGAAACAATTCCACATTATTCTGCTGCAAAAATGTGATAAATAGCGTAATATATTCAATTTGTAAACTTCCGTACTTATTCTTTATCTATATATATATATATATATATATATATATATATATATATATATATATATATATATATATGCGTAAACATATCTGTTTCATATCACAAGAGACTAGTATAGATTATGTAGCGATTTATGTAGCTTTTACTATGAGAATGATATATTCAATAATGAAGACAAGCTGCTTGTATCACTTGACACCGAATGCAATGATGCTGAAGAGACAAGCATAAAGCCTCGTTCTGGAATTGTGAAAACGTGTCAAATGAATGCCTTGCTTCCTTTTTAACATGGCCTCCTATACCTACAACCACCCACTCATTTGTATATTTCATCAATCGGATTGGATTCTTTTCTATCTTTTTCGGTCTTTTTGTGTCATTTTGTTCATTTTTTTCTTGTTCTTTCTCTTTTCCTTTTCTTTTTTCTCCTTTTTTCTCCTTTTTTTCCTTTTTTTCTTCTTCATTCATATTTTCCTTTTTACTTCTCGCTTTTCTAACATCAAATTTCTTTTGTAGCGTTCGTTTCTTTCCGATTTTTCCCTTCTTTTCTGCGATTACATTAATCAGGAAATAAGTCTTGGCAGTTTCTTTATAGTTTTCCAATGTAACTGAAACCCTTGGCTGGTTTGAAACATATTGAACTAATTTAGATACTTTTGTCAACTGCCTTTTATTCTCATAGACGGGGAAGTCTGATAGAATTCTTTTAATATATATTTAAATAATTTAACTCAGAAATATCAGTTTCACCTTAAGTCCTTTCACATCGTAGCTTATGTAATTTTGGGAAAGACAAAGAATCGTTTCAATAATATTACGATTAATTTTTGGTTAGTATATTTCATGTTATTTTCAGTTAGTTTTAATCGCAGCTATTGAGGCCGTCAACGCGGATCTGAACTGAAAATAATAAATTGTTTTACTTGGCCAAGTGACCGTTGTGATGACCAGGTCTTTTGTAGAAAATTTATCCAAAGGAGGAAGGTGAAAACAGATGAAAAATAATGGCGACAGACAGGTAAGAAAAGATAATTAAGTAGTCACAGATAGATAGAAAAGAATACATTCAATTTAGAAAATATAATTTTTTTTTCTATGAAATTTATAATTAAAATTCTAGAAATATTTGCAGTTAAAAGAATTATCTTTTATTAGGTTAAAAGATGGTTTCAGAATTTCAATGATATTTAAAAATATATTATTGGCTCAATAGTTGTGACATTGTCGAACAAAGCTAGTAGAAAAGTACGATCATTTGCAAGAATATTGTAATAATTTACAGGTGAATCATAAACTAATGACCTAAGCATAAAAATGTGTATATGCTGGTATCGTAATGGTTATCGGTGCTGAAAGTAAGATTGAAGTGTCAAGTTCAAATTCTAACCTAGACTTTTGTGTTAGCAGTAATTCTTTTGGAAAGGGATGAATCCAACTGTTCACTTCCCGGTTACGGATTAATAGCCGCGGACAGATTAGACTTTCTCTGAGTTGGCAATCAGTCTAGAAGGGTAACTCTGAATTCAAATCCGGTTGGACGTTAGAATAGAAAAAGCAGCATCACCTAACGTGGTCCTTCTCTGTATTCCACAGGTGTGTCTACAAGGTTAGTATATTACATGAACTGATTGCCAGGTATAATTTACGGTCACGGGATTCGGAAACCGTAATTTTTATATAATGAAATAACACGTGCACAACAGAAGAGACAATAATGGGAGCCTATTTGTTTGTCCTCACCAAAAACAAATGTACAAAATTTTGAACCCTTTTCTCTCTGTCTTTCTTTTCTCGCCCTCTTTCTTTTCACGCTTTTTTCTTTCTCTTTCTTTCTTTTTCTCTCTTCCTTTCTCTCTTTCTTCCTTTCTTTCTCTTTCTTTTTTCTCATTTTCTCTTTCTTTCGCTCTTTTTTCTTCATCTCCTATTTGCTTTCTTTTTCTCTCTCTTTCTTTTTATTTTTCTTTCTTTAACTCGCTTGCCTTGAGAACAGTTTATATACCACTTCCGTACCTGAGAGAGAAAATTTATAACCTTATGGGTGGATGAAGTTTGACATCATAATGAAGGTGATCGAATGATTTTATTAAATTTAATGTTTTCCGTATTAAGATCTCGAACATTGATAATAGATGAGTGACGTTAATACCGGACAAGAGATGGTTTGATCATCTGGTCAAAATGTTCTCTCTCATTTCAGTTTATTCCTACACGAATCCATTCATTACACCAATATCTGTAACCCCACTCGACGAACAACAAGAACAAGAACAAAAAGGTTCATAAAAGATGAACCAACGAATGTGATTCTTTCATTTGCAACATAAACAATCCGGCCATATATTTGCTCTTCATTCGGAAGTCACTGACAGAGGTGAGATATTTTGTCGCCATTATACAGTGGCAGTCTAATCTATTTGACTGCTCGAATTGATATCTGACTGGGTTTCTCATTTCTATCAAATATTTTTTTTCCTTTACCTCCACTCTCGCTATCTCTTTTTGGTCATGTACATTGATTATGAAATGATAAGCGAACTCATCTCGTAAGCGGTGAACAGCGACTTCATTGAATACAAATAAATCAAAATTATTTTTCCGGCACGAGAAATACAAAACAAATAGTGAGTCATTTATTTTATGAAAAAAAGGATTAATTTTTCTTTGATTCAGTAATTGTTTTTTGTTTGAATTATATAAAACATTTTATAACAATATCTGGATTCCCTCTTGGCAGCTTTCGTTATGAGATAGCACAATTACATTTTTTCGGTGTGTGTGTGTGTGTGGGGGGTTCTTTCACAGTAGTTTTTGTAGAGTCAAGGTGATGTAAATGGTTGTGCGGTTATCACTATCAAAAATCCAACATTAGAAACCTGATCATTACTTAACAATAGCTGTTGACTCTCTAACTAAATTCCAAACGAATGTGCCCCCGAAAGTACACCAGGCGTAAATTAATAGGTTCAATTTAATTTATATTAAAATTAAGTGTTAATATTACAAATATAGTATTTATCAACCAATTGTTTTATGGCTTAGTGCAACATCATGTTAAAACACCGATTCGCGTACGATCACCGAAGTTAAGCAACGTCGAAACTGGTCAGTACCTAGATGGGAATACCAGGTGCTGTAAGCTTGAATATGCGGCTAGTGTAATGGATAATAGCTCTGAATTGTAAATAGGAGAGCTGAGTTCCATTTCCATTTGGGCTCATTATATTCATGTACGCACAAATACCCTTAGGAAATGTATGAATCCACCTTTTCTCATACTAAGCTGTAGGTTAAGTAGTATGGCTAATATCACTAAAAACCATTATCTAATAAAAAAAATGCGGCATTAAATTTCGGCATTAAATAACTCATAGAGGCTGATATGCCGCTAAACTAAAACAACGAATCAATTATGTTATCGCGGAAAGTAGGTTCTAACAACGTCTGTTCTACTATATATCTATATCTATAAAAGGCAGGATATGTGTGTGTGTAACGAATGCACGGCCGCAATTTTCGACGGATTTGCACCAAAATTTACATGCACATGCTCCAAGTTAGCAGGAAAGCCAAGACCGACTTTGCATTTCCCAACTCCCATCGATAGTGGAAATAATCGATTTTTCATGCTTCTACGGCAGTTTTCATATAGTTTGGGGCCATTTTCTACTGGCCAGAGTGAGAGCCAATAGCTGGCTGCCACGAATGGGCAGGAAGATTCTATTGGCTAGCGTGAGAGCCAACAGCTGACTGACACGAATGTTAACTAGCATGCTAGCATGCAAAAAACAAAACAAACAAAAAAAAACGATAGCAGCATTCGTCACAAGTGGGAAAAATTTAAATCTGCATGGCACTTTACTCCAATTAGCTCATTCGCTTACTTAAACTCAACGTTGATTCTGATTCCGCAGAACTGGGTTCGGTGTGAAAAAGTATTTGTTGTTAACATTATTTTTTCATTCGGTTTTTCCAGTTACGAGTCCTTTTTTAAAGCTGATCGTTTTGTGTTCATTTTGTTTAGTTCTTTTTTCGTAACAGATTTAATGTTTAGTATAGAGCTTAGAAAAAATTGCAGTGTGAGATAGGCGAGAAGTAAGGCATGTAGCAACATCAACACGGCAAAGGGCACTCCTTTAAAGGCAAGGAAGGGCAAAAATATTTTAAGTCAAGTGATAGCGATTGCTGTACGAGTCGTACGATTTTTTAATCAAGCACGGGCAATGCTGGGTCATGCTGCTTGTAGTACTATATAATTTGAATGTGTGCGTTTGCTTTAATCATTACAAAGTGTTGAGAAATAGAAAATAAACTTTTATATAACACAAAAGGATGAGATGAAAATTTCAATTCTTCAAGACGAGACATATTCTGGGAAGAAATAAATGTGTAGCCGCCGCTTGACCACGTCGTGAACGAAGGTATGTTTATTTACATTATTTATTTTCTGATCCTCATCATTGTTATTGTTGTTGTTACCACAATATTTCGGTTGTTGTAACTTCCGCCATTTCTCAGGTGTGGCCTACTGGGAAGCCTGAACTGAACCCTTTATTTAACCTACATGGGTAGACTGCTCATGTCGGTGGATATCGTCTTGAATTTATTTTATTTAGTTGATCAGTTATTGCTCGCCCAACCCAGGGATTGAACTCGCAACTACTACGTCACCAAACTCACAATCCGAACTTTTTTTAAAAATCGGGTTGACCCCATGGAAGGCAGTAAAGCCACTAAGACACAATGTGTTACCGGGTGTGGAATAATTAGGAACAGAAACATTAGTAATGAGCGGGAAGAAAAAAGAGTAATCAGGGGTTCAGTAGATAGCGATTGACATTGCATTTAATTTTTTGCAGTTTAAAG